AAGGTGGCAAACAATATAACAGCAAATCAGACCAATTGGAAACAATTAAAACTATCATGTTGGAAATTGAACCTGCTGAAGTAAAAAAAAAAAAAAAAAAATATCAAAATCAATGGATAATAGATTACTGGATGTTATTGATAAGAAGGATCACTATATTAAAATGTAAACGATTCAAAAACTTATGTGGTTGTTATTTGTTATTATGTGTTGATAATTTTTTTGATGATTTTATTACCATTTTATTGAAGTAAAATGTGATTATTTGCTTTTGCCTAATAACTTCAGGTGGAAAATTTTTAGAAAACATCAAATGACTTCAATAAAACATTTTGATACTACCTAAAATTATAACCTGGCTTTTGTTTTGACATCTAAATTGATTGTTTAAAATGTGACAATTTTTTTTTCAAACCAAATTTGAATTATTGAAGTTTATATGATTTGCTTAATAACTGCAGACAGGGTGTAGTTGAATATTGTGCTCAAGTCTTTGGTGATAATTCAGTTTGCTTGAGATATTTATGTATAATTTTATTTTCATAATGTTAAACTCTATCTTTTTGTGCAACAAAATAACTAAGCAAATGCAAAGTAGCTTTTAATATAGACATCTACTTGTTTCCTGTCTTGTGTAATAAAAGTGATAATGTCACAATTCTAGGGCTATTTTTAAGTCAAACGAGAACGCTAAATCTTCTTAAAATTAGTTAAAAAAGAAAAAATAATAAAAAAAACTGTACAAATTCTTCATAAAATATTTATATTCACATGTTAACAGTTACTAGTGCAAATAGCCTCAATGTCTTTTTTTCTCTATAGAGTTTACATGCAGGGCGAAGTAAAATTAAAGGGAGATAAATGTCTCCGTTTAATTCCTTTTCATTCTTATGAATAAGCTTTTTCTTTTGAAAAATTACATAGTGTTAATGAAAAAAATTAAATAAATGTGTGGTCTTGATGTCAGTGGCGGTGTTAGTTATAATAATGACAATGATGATTCATTAAAAAAAAAAAGTTTGAAAAAGAAATGAAACTCTATCCACTAGTTTAACACATCTCTAATAATTGTTTTTGAAGAGGTATGCTTTAATAAAAATTTGAATAGTATGAAAATATGCTTTCTCTTTATTTACTATATGAAATATGAATATTAACAATTGTATTCAAATAAAGATTTAAATTTATACGAAATCTAACGTGAAAAATTTCACATTTTGTCAGGAGGGAGGGGAAATGTTAATATGAAAAAAACTTTATGAAGATTATTGTTCCTAATGTCTTATAAACTTAACTGGTTATGAGATGTGGGACTACCAAATATTTAAAGTAAGTTGATTATTGTAATAGAAGATGACCAGATCACAAATTTATCACATGCAGGGATAGATTTAATTATATATAAGTTTTAAGAAAGTAAATATTTAAAAGTCATTTTGTATAATAATATTGTATGATTTTGCAATGTTCTCATTCCTATTAATTTAACTTTTTTTTTATCTTTTATCTTATATTTGTGGCTTTTAAAATAGGTGCACACAACTCTCACAAAGACCTAAAATGATTTCAATCAAAAATCTTGTAATCTTCAAACCTAATAGAAAAAGAAACAACTTATGGTCCAAATGTTGATGTCTTCCAAACTAAACATGGATTCTTCCCAACCAACCCTATCAAGAGTGAGCTGTGGTTATCTATGATATTGGATTTTTTTTTTTTTTTTTATCCAAGTCTGTCTCAAGTTACCCAATGTCTCGTGTCTCTATTCTTCACCTTGAACTTGTTAATCTTTTTGGCCACAGATTGCTAGGTCTTTTCATTTTTTTGATAAATGTTGAATTTTCATTTACTTTTATTGAAGACACCAATATATTTGCAAATCTGGTAGATTTACAAAAACATTACAATTTGAAATATGATGAAAAGGAATAGTGGAGCAGGAAAATGTAAATTTTGGGGAGAATCGTGCAGATTGTGAGATAAGCATGAAATTTGGCATGAGTGTTCCTGATAGGTTACTTATTCAGAAAAAAGTGCTAGCCATGAAAAAAATTGAACATGGCGGCTATTTTTCAAGTTGGCTGCCAAACGGGCCTCTGTTTTATGGTTTTGCTCAAAAACTATAGTACAAATTGTGATATAAACATGAAATTTGGCATGAGTGTTCCTTGTAAGCCATTCATACAGGTGAAAGTGCTAGCCACAAAAAAAAAAAACAATATGGTGGACACTTTTTCAAGATGGCTGCCAAACGGGCCTCTGTTTTATTATTTTGATCTGAAATCATTAAAGTTGAATTTGATGAAATATTTTTGATTTATTGCTGTATCAATTCTAAATCTGAGTGAGAGAACTCAATGATTGCACTGTTTCAATTGATTTGGCATGATATAGTGCCCATACCCTACAGTGGATAATTACATGAAATGATTTAAAGTCGACATTTACAATCCTGATGAAATGTCCAATTCAACGTCAAAATTACTTTCTGTGCTAATACTCAGCATGGAAATTGTCCATATCTGGGAAAATATCTACAGGTCATATATATCCTTACAACTCTCTGTATTTGAATTGCAATAGGGTAACCTTCCAAGAACCGGTGACAAAAGTCCAGCCTGAAGTTCATTCGTTGTTGTTTGCTAAATCTCACAAGGGCAACTGCAAAGCGGAGTACAGCCTGTCCCAACCTTTGAGCACTTGCATTGTCCTCCACCACATTTTATCTTACATCCGCACTTTGTCAATTCACGACAGCTTTTAGAAATTGGTTCCTAGGAAGTCCAGGCAACTTTCCATTTGTTACCATCTTTCAACCACAACCCACTTGGAAGGACACGGAAGCTCTGGATCACGAACGTCGGACTGCCCCCAGATATGTCTTGCTTGGATGGCAGCACGTTTGGCATGTTCCTTTAGCGCTCCTTGTGTTGGCGGGATTAATTCGTATGACCTCTGCTTCCTGGCAAAGAGATCTAACTTTGTTTCATCTACTGTGGTAGTAGCACTTGACCGGCCATACATTAGAACAACAAATCTCTCTAGAACTTGTAGATCAAACTCATTAATTTCAGGAGGACAGTGACTGAGTTTTGCAAATGTAGCCGAGGCATCATTGCAAACATTCCATGCTTCCCCCTCCCCTTGCCATTGGATCCAGATACCACATCACATCTGGAAAACACATGGAAGAATAGTATCCCTTCAGTTTTTTCCGGCCCCAAAGAAGATGCAAGGTCGTGTATTGGGATCCATCGAGTGTGCTCCCTCTTGCCATAGGCGATCCACATTTTCTCCATGCCCATTGCAGTGAAAGAAGCCCATGACTACAATGTCCGTGTCATTAGTTTCAATCATGAGAGACTTGTCCATCATTAGTTGCATTCCAGACATGCAAAAATATCCGGGTATCTGCCTCTTCATGTGTGCAAGGAGTTTTATGGTTTATCTTAGTATCAGGATGGCTGGAACTTGGTAGAGCATTTTCCTCTCGTGTTACAATTACTTCATTCGTTGTGGTCATTTTACCCACTTCGTCAGCAAGGAAATTCAACAGCTCTGTTTTGTTGGTGCTGTCCTATAGAAAGCTCTTCCAATTAGTTGGTGTTTTGCTCTTTGCCGTTACTCTCCTCCTGATAGCTTTTCTGCGTTTTGATCGTGCTTCAGACTTCAGACTAGACTTGTGATAGACATCAAAAATGATATCTGTCCTCTTGTAATTGCTACTGTAGTATTGCACCTTATATTCTGTCTGGCATATTCTTCAAACGTCTTCAGTGTCCTAGGTGTTACTGTATTGACTAGAAATGCACCATCTACTATGAGTACATCAGTTTCTGGCTTCGTGTCTGGAAGCTCCACCTTGGTTTGCAGGATGTCCACGAGATCAGACTTGGTAGCAACATGTAGTTTGCCTCACTTGCTGAGTGATGGAGGGAAAGATTGGTTCTCATGTTTGAAAAACTCTGGTAAATCACACCCCCTGCTTTGGCAGGAGATGAAAAGGCGGGAGAGCAGTTGACAATCCTCCTTTAGTAGCCGTGTTTCCGATTTCTCTGTTGGATCTGTGCTTGTTTTGAAGAAGTCTTTATTATTCCGTTTGATTGGCTGTTAGAAATGCTGACTGTCGGTCTTGAGTTTATCCATGAATGTTTGGAATTGCTCTTTCCCTTTCTCCAGATGAGATGCAACCAGCAGCGCTGCTGTAGGATCAGCAATGTCCTTAGTGTCAAGCGACAGTAGATCAGTGGACTCCTCTGAAAATGAATTGCCCATTTCTTCTTTCACACTTGTAAGTCGCTGAACCTTTTCAAAGAATGCCTTCTAAGCAGTTGGCGACTGCTCATGGTGATGACTTCCTTTCTTTGCCTCTTTGCTTCCTGATACGGCTTCATAGTCAGCAACAAATTTGCTAATTTCTGGACCATCCACCTCCAAAGAGCTGATGGATCCTCTGTCAGACCAACAGCTCCCCCATCCCCTTTGATGATGGCATTGTTTTGTTCATAAGCTTGGTCGATTACCATTTTGGAGAACTTCCTGTCAGTTTTATGAACCACGAACCATTGTGGAATTCTCTGGCAACCTCGGGGTGCTGCTTCTCTAATGATATCATATCACACAGATGAATAGGAAGCCATCTTGCATAGTTGACATTGTTGTTGGCAAAGAGGTAGGGTATCAGTTCCAACAGTGATTCTCGATACAGATTGAAATTCCCTTCTCTAAATGCTCGCAGCAGTGTTAAGATTGTCAATTCCATGTTCAGGATAGAGAACCAAAATGCAAACTGTGGACTCTCCTTCTTTCGACTATCACACCATTCCACAAAGCTGGAGGCCTCCTCATCGCCATCAAAATGTTCGGCAAGGTACGAACTGTAGACTTTCTTCAGGAGCTGAAACAAACTGCATGCTGTGACCTGATGTACTTGACGTGTTTTAGTGACATTGGTTGCCGACAGGAATGAATCTGCAGTTCCAGAAGAGTCTACATCAGCCTCAACAAGTGCACTTGTCCATCCACTGTCTGTTAGCATCGACCCAATAGACTTCACTGCTGTGCAGCCCACCAAACATGATCACAAACTTGTCTTCCCCATATTCCTCTGGCCAGTACCACTGTATTTCTTTTGCCATGGCATAGAGTGGTTGATCAGCTGCCAGGACGGGAGTTTGCCCTGGGTTAAGAAATGCTACAGCTTCCCTTACTTTCTTCATGGCATGCTTTATTGTGGCAATGCTATGAGCTTGATCTCGGAGAAGAGGTAGCAAGGAAGTGATGCTGGTTTCATATTCGCTAGTCCGTTTCTGGCTCACATGATGAGCTGACCATGTTATATTGGATACATCATCTACATCAGTGGTACCTTGAACTTTTTCCAACCATTCGTATTTGACTCTTATGTTCCTTTGGAAGAGACTGGGGTCAGGCAGTGATACTTCATCTACTGAGGCTGGGGTTGGGTTCTTCTTGAAGTAGGCTGGCGCGATGTTTGTATAATGCTCTGGAAGCTCAGGAACCTTTCTTGTCCTACTGTCTGTTATTTCCGGTGAAACTCGCTGTTCTCCTCTGTTTTCCTTACTTGGGTGCTGGAACATGGAAATACTTGTACCATGGAATGACGTGCTAGCTGTGGTGGCCGTGGGATTATGATCAATGCTGTCGACAGCGGCCGTAGTGAACAGCCCTTTTCACAGTACTGGTGGGCACACAATATCTTCTTCGACATACTGTTTTATCACAGTCTCACCAAGCTTGCCGGATATCTCTAATACCTTGACATACAATATGCTTAGTCCATGCTCATGGAATTTGTCAATCAACTCTCTTTTTCGTGTCTTGGCGTACACCTTCAACCCAACATAGACAGCAAAAGGGGTCTCACGGTCTTTAGAATGTATTTGGGTTGTCAATCCTTCTCTACGTTTTGAGTAGCAGTTGAACTGTAAAAGCTGAGCAATAGCTAAGTCTGACTTTGCTATTCCATGCATCAGATGTGATTTTATTTCAACACCATGTTCAATGCTGCACATGAACTGAAGAAGTGCAGGTGGGATAGCCTCCTCACCAAAGCCATCTTTGAGCTTGCTGCTGAATTTTGTCTTGTGCTGGAGCATTTCTTTTCTCAGGATATCTGCTGCCTTAGATAGATGGAGAGCATTGCTATACTGGCTAGCTTCATGGAACACTGGTCCCATGTCTGCCTTGAAGGCAAGGAGTACATCACGTCCCTTCTTATGGGCTTCAAGTTCTGGAATCCGAGCAAGTAGCCATTCCTTCAACCTGGTAGAGTGGACATTTGGGAATCAACCCCAAGCTGTTCCAAGCAAAGCTTGTAGAGTGAGGCTAGGTCAGCAAGCCGAAATACAACCGGTGCTGCTTCCGTGTTGGTGACTTTGCTATCCATGATGTAGATAACTAGTTCTGAAAAGGCCACTGGGTATAAATCCTTCCCTGGATCACTACTCTCTGCTTTCTCAAGGGAATTGAGGTACGCTCTTTCAGCATCGTACAACTTTTGGAGGCATCGAAGGTGGTACTTAACCTCCAGGGCAACAACGTCTCCGCCACTCAACTTTGCAAAGAGCTTTCCATCGTTCAGGGTTCTGGCACATTGATTGAGGTGTTCATTTAGTCTCTCTGTCAACCCCTCTTGCAGATTCGAAATAACATCTTCTTCACAGAAGAAACATTCCACTTTTGGAATGTCTGCAGATTTTTGTCTCTTGCTTCGAAATTCATCTGTTGCTCCAGAGGTGCTCGGGGACCGCTCTTCTTTGCTATGCTCTTTCTAACTTGGTGTTGTTGAACAGCAATCGGCAACTCGGATGATATTTAACTCCATTTTGAACCAGAGTGGTTTCTATACCTTCACCTTCATCAAGCCTTGAAGGGTCAAGTGCTATCATTGATGGCATAAAACAATGGTACATTTCTTGCAATATTACTGTATCCAGCATAATCCTGCTTCCTCTGGAATTAACTAAGAGGTGAAATGAGAGTTTCTTTGCTTTTTTCCTGCTGACAAAGGCAGCATTTGCTCCAATCAGTTTTCGATGTGGAATCTTTATCCATCATTTGACAGGAACAACCAAGAGTTTATCCTTTTACCACCGTTCGCTCACTTAGTTGTATGGGATACAACTAGGTTCACGCAACTCCCCTACACCTAGCCCGATTGTTCATCCAACGCCATTTGAATCCTGTGCGATCTGTACACTATCCAGATAACTTCAAAAGCCCCTGTTATCCTTGGCTCGGCTCTCCTGTGTTGGCACAACCTGTCCATTCAGGTACGTCTATCTAATATGTTAGGGGCTTACTAGATAGAATTTGGGATACTAAACTCCATGTTTAGCTGACATTGAACCCCATGCTGAGTTCCACAGCAGTGTCTGTCACCAGTGTGCCCTGGTAGTGAGCAACATACACTGTCTTCATATCTCCTCACATTTCAATTTGAATGTTGTCTCCTGGATGAACTGCCACTACTCAACCTTATCAATTAACTGCCCTACTCTGCCTCCTCGATGAACTGCCACTATGAGGCACTGGCTGCCATCTGGAAAAAATGGCTGCCATGTTGAGTTTTCACAATGCCAGAACTTTTATGTGAAAATGGACCTGCAAGGAACACTCCTGCCAAATTTCAAGTTTATATCACAATTTGTAATATGGTTTTTGAGTAAAACCATGAAACAGAGGCCCGTTTAGAGGCCATCTTGAAAAAAGGCTGCCATATTGAAATTTTTTCGTGGCTACCACTTTCACCTGAATAACATACCTACAAGGAACACTCCTGCCAAATTTCATGTTTATATCACAATTTGCACTCTGATTTTTTAGCAAAATGCATGAAACAGAGGCCCGTTTGGCAGCCATCTTGAAAAATGGCAGCCATATTGGATTTTTTCGTGGCTAGCACTTTTTTCTGAAAAAGTGACCTATCAGGAACAATTATGCCAAATTTCATGCTTATCTCACAATTTGCACGATGGTTTGCATAATCTGCTCTACTAGAACTTTGAAGCCAAATTTTAATGTTTCAACAGAGAAATAATAAATTAATGATGTATGTACTTTTTTTTTATATCTTTAACACATTGATGAGTCTTATCTTTCATCTCAGCCAAGGAAGGAAACCTACACACAGATAAATATTTGTTTGTTAATGTATGTATATATATACTAGCCAAATTATCCATGCTTACTGCGTGTCACACATTATTTTTTTTTTTTAATAAAATGATGACTGATTTTAAATCATTGTTATAATTTGTGGAGAAAAATGATGCATTTCAATATTACTCAATGATCTTGCCGATGTGACCTCCATCTTCTGGCTTTCTCCTTCTATATTTTGGATAGGAATCATTCCCTTGTTTTAATTTAAATTTAATTTAAATCAAAGGGGAAAAATATTTTAGTGGGTGGGTTGTGTAAAAACACTTTGATCTGACCTCTTTGGTATGCAATACTTGATTGAATGAATTGATAAGCAGATTTCAACATTGATATGACAGTTGAATTGTTGTAACAGATGTGTGTTGTAAGGCACTATCCACTGATTTGGTGATTTCTTGCTCAGCTTGACATCCATATTGTCTCATTTTGATCTTGCTGATGTGATCTCCATCTTTTGGCTTTCTCCTATTTTGGGGATAGGAGTCATTCCCTTGTTCTAATTTAAATCAAAGGGTAAGAAATTTCAGTGTGCTCACCTTTGATCAAAAGGAAATATACTTATCCAAGTACCATAGGTAAGATAGGTTCAGAATGTATATGGTTATATATATAATGAACTCGCCTGTCGGTTTCAATGTATAAGGATCTGACAGCTTGTTTCAGTTATGAAATTTTGTGCGATAATCTTAAGTGGCACTTAAGACCCGCTAGTGATTTACAAAGGCCAGATATGGATCAAGAGTGAGGATCACTGTTAGATTGGCTGACCTTTTAGATCTAGCTCTCACTTCTTGAAGATGATTCAGACAAGCAGATTGAAAACTGCTGAGTCCACTAAAACACATTGATCTCCATTCTACCTTCTCCAAGGCTAAGTGCTCAACGGTGTTATGTGGTATATTGACAGCCGACAACAAATATTATCCTAAATATCTAATTACATTAGATAATGTCCAAATATTCAGAGCAAAAACTGTTGCTCTTACTAAAAGTAACAAGCAATCAAGACAAAAACAGTGTGTGTATATATATATATATATATATATATATATACACACACACACATTTTTACATTTCTTTTTAAGATTTTTTTAAAATCAATGTAAGTTGTTTTTGCATGAAAAAATATATACTGTGACACTCTTCACAGCTGAGTGGTAAAGCACACCAGATCAAATGATAGTTTTTCCTACCAAAGAAGAATGCAGATTTGATTCCTGCCAGAGAGCATATTTTTTTTTATAAAAATAAAAATGGAGTGTCTGTTTCAATAAGAGATGTCCACTATAACAACATTTGAAGTAATAAAAATGTTGGATTAGAAATAAATCCATTAATTCTTTAGAGATATATGTTTGCACACATATACCATAGGAAGAAATACATATATGTCTGTTTGTAGGATGTATAATAGTATATGAAACAAAAGTGAAGCTGAACACAGCAGATGCTCTTTCAACAAAACACATAGCTTTTCCCACTTTGTCTCATTATCTTCACATATATCTGGATATAATCTTTTTCCTTTGTAGTTCAGAGCAGTGATTCTCAATGTGATACACACACCCTGATAAATTTAAAAAATGGGCCTGGATGTGCAGATCGAAAAGAGAGGAGACTTGTACCTGAAGCTGAACCAAGGCCTGGTTCAACTTGACAATCTGATAGATAGACACTAGCAGCAGTGGAGTCATTAGTCAAGATTTATATTTTCTACTACATTTTGCTTTTGTAATTAAAATGTATTTCCTGTTACATGTAATTTCTATTTGTGCTTATGTGAGTCTGAATTTTTGGGGCCCACCAGGAAGAAAAGGTTGAGGAGACTCTTGACAACCAATGACTCGTTATGTGCCATTAATTTCCTATGTCAAAACCCATTCCAAATCCTTTAACTAAATCAAATTTTTTCATTGTTTTTGTCTTGATTGTTTGTTATTTTTAGTAAGAGCAAGTTTTTGCTCTGAATATTTGGATGACTATAAAAATGTAATTAGATATTTAGGATAATATTTGTTGTAACTTATTCAGCTTTGTATGTAATAATCAAAGTAACTCATTAACCATTGCCTCATGTCAAAATTATTTGTGGATATGAATCAAGGAATCTGATGATTGAAAGAACTGTAGTTACAGTTGTTAGTATTTACAAAACTCAAATTAGTTTTACATAAGGCCACAAACATTGAGCACTGAGTAATGATCAAACTGACTAATCAGTAGTAATGATCTGTAAAAGCAGCCTACTATCCATTATAATGAGGCAGCCACAATGTAACCTGTGTAGTTGAAATGATAACATTAAAATTGATTTGCTTGTACATCTTTTCTTTCAACTTGAGTGACACTTGTTTTTTTTTTCTGAACATCCAAGATTTATTTACAAATTATTGACTAATCACATACTATTCACAAAACAAAAAATCTGAAATGTAATTTTTCTTCTATGAAGATTGTTTTTTATTTGCAAAGATTTATTTTGGATAAAAAAAAAAAAAAAAAAAAATAAATTTGGATAGAAAAAAAAATTATCTGTGCACAAAGTTTTGTGTGTGTGTGTATATATATATATATATATATATATATATATATATCAGCTGATTTTGTTTCCCAATATCTTTTTTTTTTTTTTTTTTTTAATATTATTATTTTTGTACCAGTATTGAGTAATGGCATTTCAGCCAACAGTATCTTTTGTTGAAATCCTCTGTCTCACTTCATCTGTGCGTTGTGAGGTGGTGTCAGATGCAGGGTGGGAGATAACAGACAGCCACAATCATGCTTCATTCTCAGTGCCCCCCCACTTACTCTTCTTAATGTCATATGTAACATTGTAACCCTAACAGCTGTAAAGCCTTGGTTCACACACTTTCCAACTCCTGACTATCAAGTTTCACTCCCATTTCTATAATCACAGAACCAGGCAAAGTTTGGATGAACTCTGTTGACCAATTTGTGCTGGTTACAAATATTTCTTTGATTCAACAGGGTCTGAATTGTATTTGTCTCCTGG